CTGCATGTCAAGCGGCACACCCACAATAAAGTGCCTACTAGAAGTAATAAACCCAACGCGCGGTGGACTTAAAAAGAAGCTGTAAGTGAGTTTGGTGTTCTGGGAGAAGGCTGATTGTGTGAGGACATGCTGTGTGCTTGCGCTGTTTATAAATTTTTTTCCCCCTACCTTTTTGACAGTTGTTCATGGCCTCTGGGGAACAGCCGGGGTTTCCCTGAGTGGTGACTCGGTGTTAGAGCGGGCGGGTGTTGGGTGTTTGCTGTTTCGTGAGACTCGGAAATCTCGTCTATTTCTTAAGCATACTTCACAGACCTAGCGTTGTTTGTCAGCGAAATTGACACACGGTCATTTTCCAGTTTTGGCGTTGTCTACCAAAAACTGACTTGAGAAATCTTTTATGTGTGAGTCCCTAGATCTTCTCTGTATTCTTAACAGCATCTGCCTCCTCTTCCGTGATAGAGATAATGCTAAATCTCAAACCTGGTACAAGTTGACAAAGCTACTTGTAATTCCTTTACTGGGGAGGACCACTATGTCCTGATTTCCTCCCTGATATGTTTTGCTGTAATTCACGCCCTTGTGAATTTGTGCTACTGTGAATGGTTGTAGAGAAATGCCCTCAGAGGGAGCTTTTTCAGACAGTGAGTTTTGATTGCTGTAAGCTATGCAGTTATCCAAAGTCTTCTTATAATCTTGCAGAAAACTCAAAAGAGATTGATGGTGAAGCATTGAATTGTATGTATCTTGTGTTAAGTATAACCAACACCCTGCATACAGCGCTCATGGTGGTTATGTTTGCCTGTGGTAGCAGTTTCTGTGGCTGCTTGCTGTCTTTGTAGAGGTGAACCTGGGACAACAATGGCCACAGATTTCCCTTTACTTGAGAAAAGTGCTTCCCAAATGGAAGCAGGGTGAAGGAAATAGACCTGTGGCATTAAAATACACTAACCCATGTGTTGGAAATGGCCCTGGAATGCTGGACTCAGGAAGCAGCCTATTAAGTGTTGGGGTTGGAATTGTGTTAATGCTGAAGCAGAGGCACAGAGAACTGCCTGTGTGCTTTGAGGATGCAGCTCTTGTTCCCACTGTACACTAACATTAACTTTCCACATTTCTCCTTCAGCCAACTGTTAAACGTGTGATGCCCTGGTGTTACAGTGGGAATTTTTGTGGCACTCACTTAATGTTTATGAAATGATACTTACATGCTATTTACACATTGCTGACAAAATATCCGTAGACTTATACTTATGTATACATAAATATACAGGATTTAACTCTCCTGTTTGGGGAATTGGTCAGCAATATTTTTACAACCATAAGATCTATTAACTGTGCATGTACTTGTACACCTCAGTAGAAGCATATTTCTTTAAGAAAAAAAATGATCAGACAAATCATGGGGCAAAATTGTACCACAGGGATTATTTTAAACCCAAATATAAAATATATGGGCTGCTGGATGAATATCACTGTGTATTTACCTTACTGCTGGATTTTTTCCCCTGAGCTTTGTTATTAACTATTGTTAGCTACAGGATGTTGGGCTGCTGGGGTCATTGGTCTGTCCCCATAGAGCTGTCCTTGTGTTCTGTTGTTGGGTTCCAGCATGCTCAGAGTCCGTGTTATCAGTGTCTGGAACAAACTCAGTTTATCTCAAAGAACTAAATGTGCTGCTTTTGCAAAACTGCTGTCTCTTCTTTACATCTTTGAACTGAGAGGAAATGGTTGAGTGATGATGGAATCTAGCTTTCTGGGGGTTTTTTTTCCATTTGCTGCTAAGATGCTTCAGACATTTTAACTGAAACATCTTATAATTGTTCTCAGATCCAAAGCTCAAAAATATTTGGTAAACATGAGGTAACTTCATTTGGAACTTGGTCTAGAGTGTCATCACTTGAAAATTGAATGGAAAAATAAATCTGCTTTAGATTAAAGTATTAATATATTGAGCATATGAGCTGCTTAACTTCTCAATGTTGTTTGTATCAGCAGGATGCTTTATTCAGCTTCAAAAGCCAAGGAGATGTGGATTTACTTTGCCTTTGTGTCCTTTATACCTTTGCAAAGCAGAATAAATCTGTGCTTTAAGAGTTGTACAGTTCTTTTGAAGTTACTCTCTAGCCTGTTACAGTCTCCTTGCAAAAGCTGTAAACAGTTGAAATACCAGAGCCAAGAAGGTCCATCTTGAGGAATTTGCTTGCGTGGTGTGGTGAAGAAGATACAGCTGGTAGGAGTCATGTGCTAATATAATGCAGCCTGTCTTTAAAATAAAATACTGAAGGGAAAAATCGTGACCACCCTTCCCCCTCCTTCACCCCAAACTACAGGAGTTTTCTTCTGTTCATTTGGGTATGTTGTGTGTGTAGTCTTATATATGTAAACTCTTGTTAGGCAGGGGCCAAGTTAATTGTCATTTTGTCCTGCTGCTTGTGAACGTTTGGGATTGGCTGCTGCTTTGAAGGGTGTGCTGTGTGCATGAGAGCATTGTCCTGTGGATGTGGCAATTCACTGTCCAGTATTATCTGTCTGTTTGAAGGTTTGCAATGGGCAGCTGAGTATCTTGAAGCTTCCTTTGGGATAGGAGGTAGATTTCTGAACTGCTGGGAACTCTGTCTTTTTGTCTTTCACCACGTGATTAATGCCAAATTTTGTTTGACATGTCTGGTGGTTTTTTCTGCCCAAAGCATACCACTGTAGACTAACAATAGTAATTTTTTTTTCTTTTATATGCTGTCTTATAAGCCTTTAAAACCAATTGATTTACTTCAAGATGTCTGCATGACAGAGTTGCATAATGCAAATTCTGTCTGGTGATTATGGAAGAAGATGACTAATGTATTTATAAAGCACTGCTGGCATGTGCTTAAATATCAAGTGTTCTCTGGATGTGTGTGGTTGTTAGTTCAGTGCTTTTGGACATATTCAGATGAAAATCGTGGGAGGGGGTATGTGTGTTTTGTATCTGTGTATGCAATGACAAATCAAGCAAATTGTCTCATATAAAAGCCTAAGCTCTACTCCTGGAGCAACACACTGGAATTTTTCTGCAGTGAGTAATAATGTGATAAGGAGGCAAGGATTTCTGGAGAACTTGGCTGTTATCTTGCAACAGCATTAGAACTTGTAACACTAAGTTTGTAAAACCTGAAGACAACACCTGCGGCAATCTCCTGGCAGAAGGCTAAAATGAACTTCTATAACCTTTTCAGGTCACCTTGTAATGGAAGAGAGTGGAGCTGACCATGATATTGCTATGGAAGGATCTAATGATTTGCTCATAGGCAGCTGTTATGCTACAGGAGAGTCAGAAACAAATGATCAGATTTTTCAGGTGAGGTTTGAATGCTTTGTCCTTGTAGATGCTTCCTTTACATCCACTCTGATGAGTTTAAAATATGTTATTTCATCAATGCAGGGTTTTTTCTTGCCCTTAGAGTAAGACATCGTGTCTTTTAAGAATGTGCATCCTTCTGTTGGATTTCTGTGCCATTCAGTTTAGAACTGATGAATATCCAGATGTTACCTGTAATGACAACCTTCAGTCATTATGTCCTGCTATGGTGCTGAAGAAATGCATGTTTTATTTTGTTTTATTTTGTTTATTTAAAAAAGAATGCTTTATGACATGTGTTGGAGTAGGAGAGGTTCAGAACAGGTGAAAATGAGGTAGCATTGCTTAGTGACCAAATGTGACAAATAGAGAGTCCAGGGACACAGGACACCTGTGTATGTATTGAGGGAGAGGAGTCTTTCATGTATTTTTTATTAGATATTGTCAGATCTTCTTATCTGGGGAGATTTCTGTGCATGAATCCTCTTCTGCAGAATGTTTTTCTGACATGAAATGTCATTCAGGTGGTGATTTATTTGTGTGCTTATTGTCTCTGCACAATGGCTTTAACACAACAGGTGCCACTTGTTTGGTGCTGCTTTTCTGGTGTAGTTCACCATAGACAGTTTCACACAGAAGATTTATACCTGCAGAACTTTTGATGGGGCTATTTAGATCAAATCTGACTTTAGATAAAATTTAGAAACACTTTTCCTCATTCTTTGATTTGTAGTGTATTAATTTTTGTTGCAAAAACATCAGAGTTGTTTGTGCAGTTGCTGCAAGAGATAGAACAAATTGCAGCCCTTCTTGCATTAGCCAAATGACACCTTGACATGTTATTGTCACAAGGACTGCCTATTTTTCCATTATTTTTACATGCTTAATATCTGTGTTGCCAGAGTTTCCACAAGACAAGTATTTGTGCCTATGCTCTTTAATTTAATGAAAATGGCATGTACTCTAAGACTTTGGTTCTACAAACTTGATGAAGATAACACTCTATTTTTTAAAGATTTTGCAACTCTGATTCTTGACCTTATGCTGTACAATTCCTGGCCTTGAATCGGAGGTTGTGTTGCTTATGTTTCTTCTGTGGTAAAGACTTTTAAAAATGTGAGATTTTTTCTTCATAGCTAAATGCATCTATGGAAAGGCCAAGTGGAATAGTATCTAGGATTTCTTCTGAAGTCAAATCAAGTTGGTGAATATTTTACAGTTTTGTTTTTGGTATAAGTCTTCTCAGTTTCTGGGCAGACTTGAGGTGTTTTAAAGTGATACATGGTTTTGGGGAGCAGATTTTGAGCAAAAGGGATTTTCTTTTGTCTTAGTAGAGAGACTTTGTTCTAGGAAGCAGGAATAAGAATAATTTTCAGCATGGAAGTAGAAAACAAAAGTAGAACTGGTAATGTTAGCCTCTTGATCAAGAAGGAGAAGAGCTCCTCTGAGTATACACTATAGCACTATAGCACACTGGTTTTAAATGTTCTTTTCTCTTTCTTGTTTTGTTTTTTTTTTTTATTCTTCTTAGAAGTTGCTGCTCAAAGTACATTTTACTGTTTTTCCTCTGTGAAAGCAACTAACGTGCATGGATTCCAGGGATCTATTGTTTGGCCAGAGCGACTCTCCCCCAGCCCTGCCCATCACAGTCCCCGTCTCGGGCAGTCCTCCCCAGGCACGGTCCCGCTCTGCCGAGGAATTGCATGGGGCAGAGCAGCCCAGGCAGCCCCTGTGTGAGCTGCAGCCCCTGGGAGGGCCCAGTGCACCCATGGTGAGTGTGTCTGCAGGCAGGCCTGGGGCTGTGTTCACACAGCAGGGAGCTCGCTGAAGAACTCTCTTACTGCTGGTTTGTTGTAGCAACAGCTGATTCAGACTTTATATCTAGCAACAAGGTGGAACTTTTCAGTGCTACAGTTCATGGTCCAGTTGCCCTTCTTCAGGTAGGCAAATCCTGTCTGCAGCCATTACTAATTTTAAACTGATGTCTTTTGTCAGTATCGAGCCTGGATGCTGCAGTGTGACAAGATCTTGTATTTCTACTGCTGCTGCTTTCTCTATATCCCCTGGATAAATCTCTGGTTTTTGGGGGGAATCAGAACATTAGCAGTAAGCTAAGTCATTATGTTTCACCTTTTCCCTGCCCTCAATTAATTTTCTCAAAATGTTGCTTCATAATTTGTAATACCTATTTTGTAAAAAAGGTAACTCTCTCACCCAGAGTCCTGTGTAATTATGTCCTGTGTAAATATACCATGAGGAGTTGTTCAAGCTTTTCAGAATCCCAGGTGATTTAATTTGTATTGTTTTTTTAAACCCTGGGACTTTTCTTCTCTCTGCTTTTACATGAAATGCTGCCCATAGAGGTCAGTTTCTTAGAAGTAAAGCTCACAGTTTTTATGTTACTATTATTTCTGCTAGTCCATGAATGGAGTTACAGTGAATCCAACTATGAATGGCTTTCAGGTGTTTGTGTGTAATAAGAGTTGTCACTTTCAAATAAATGTGTAATTCATTGTAGAATCAGGTAAAGTACCCTTTTTGGTTTTGTTTTTTTTCTTTAATTAAAGGCCTATTTTAAAGGGCGAAAGTAATTTTAAGAAATTGACGATCAAGAGACAGTTTTCTTATTATGTAAAGTCAAGTAAATATACAGTCCCTAACTCTAAGCAAAATATTTCCTGTTCTGGTAAAAATCAAACCCAGTCATGCTACATGATCACCATACAAACTGGAGCCATTCATCCCTCTGTGTGACTGCCTTACAGATGATTGTTGCCAGCCAGTCAGAAAATGGGCAGGTGCTGCATGTCATTCCTTCTGCCCAGCCAGGAGTGACCCAAGTGATTATTCCTCCAGGTCAGCTTCTGGATGTGACCAGCACACAGGGTGAGTTTAACCTGTGGGACTTGAGGGTTTGTGCTCCTGTGACTAAGCTCATCCTCCATGCTCTTTTTAAAGCACCTCGTTTCCTTTCCTTAGTTATAAGCAAAATGCACCCTGAACCTGCTTTCTGATTGTGAATCTGGTGCCTCCCACACCACATTTTCTGTTGGGCAAAAACATAATGAAAGCTTATGAGAGCTACTATGCTCCCTTTCTGAAGGGTACATTATGGGTAGATTGACATATCAAGCACAGAGTTGTTTCTTGCTTTATTTAGCTTTAATAAGGATATTTGTGCCACCAGCTGTACTGTTGGCTTCAAATTTTCAGTATTTGTTTACTTCATTGTGAGTGAAGTAGTTAATTCCTGTAGCGCAGACTGGCCAGAAGAACATTAAATCTTCTGTTCCAGACATCACTGGTGATGATGCATCTTCTGAGAAGCCAGGAATGAATCATTTAGGTAGAAATTCAGTTCCCAGTCAAGGACAATAAGATGTAACTTTCCATTCATTGGGATGTGTTAGTTGTCACATTTTAAGCATGTGCTGAGATACACTGGAAGCCAAATTTTCAGGTGTTCTCTAGAAAATGGACATACTGAAATCTGAAAGCATTGATTATTGATCTGCAATCCTTGCTGGATGGCAAAACACTGTGTACTAAGTTGCTTTCACAGAGTGAGACTGAGAACGAGGTGGTCACATTTTGTTAAACTCTCAAATTTTTTAAACTGTTTTTTCCTTCTCTCTATAAAGTTCTTAAGATTTGAGCAGTGGTTAAGTGTTCCAGTGGAATGATAGCTCAGAATAAGAATAGAGTCTTGGTGCTGGGTGGATAGAAGAAAGATTTGGGATTCAAGTAGTGGTGGAGCTCTTTTCACTTAGGGTTGCAATATGTTTTCCTGACCTTGCATTGAAAGACTTGTTCCTCCCCTAATGCTCAACCTTCCCTCTCTCTCCAGCTCTTTCAGGGGTAAAACCAGGTTTGATTACAGCAGTCTTTCTCTACTTTGAAGCTGACTGGGAGCCTTTAGTTACAAAATAATTGCTGCTACTCTTTGTAAGCACTAAGTTGAAATACTAAATAGTAGTTTTGCATTTCCATTTTTCATTCAACATGAGGCTCAGTGTTGTAGTATTTGAATACATGTTCTACAACATGTATTCATGGGGTTTTTTTTGTTTGTTTGTTTGTTTTTCCTAGAGACTGACTGTGTAAAAGACTTTGTAGTGATCTGGTCTTTAAAAGACAGTTGGGAAGACTTGCCAGCAGTTTAGTGTGGAGGTAAAAGAGAAAGGAGAGTGGCCTGTCAGCTCCTGAGTTTCACCTGTCTGCACATGGTGGTAATGCACAGAATGGTGCAGACTTCAGAGTAGCCTGTAGTGTCTTAAGGGCACATCTCTGCAGGAGGAACCAGTGCTTTGAGCCAGAGTGGTGTTAATCCAAGTGCACACTTAGGAATCTTCTTATGGAGCTTTGTGTGGATCCATTTCTGTACTGTGTCAATAGCTTACCACTCTCTCTGGATGAGGGAAAGAAGCTTTCATAACTGAAGGGCAAAAATCCCTTGTCTAAAGAGACCTCATGTGTTTATGTTGAGACCAAAATATTGAACGTCTCCTTTCACAGTTTTCCATTATTATGTTTTTGTTTAACTGTACACACAGGCTTCAATCTAAAAGCAATTTTTAGCTTGTGGATTGCTCCCCATTACCAAGAAAGGCTAAAACATTTGTTCTAAGAGCATGTCAGATTCAATTACAAGAGGCCCGTTTTTCTTGTTTAAGTGTTCTTTTCTAAGTAAAAAGCAGTGTCATTACCTCAGTTTTTCTTGTTTTAAAAGCAACCAGTATGTGACTTGCAGCTGAACAAAATACTTGTGCAATCCTATATGGATTCCTGAAAGCAGAGTAATTTGCAAATTGCTCTGATTATTTGCCTTGTTGTGGAAGGATTCATAAGCAGTAGCACAATTACCAAAGTCCTTAAATATAAGCAGCCTTATCAAGTATATCTTCATATGTGTGCCAGGAGTTTGAGCACTGATTCACAACTACTAGACTACTTTATCATCTATAAAACTTCTTTGCTACATCAAAAGGCTTGCTTTAACAGCACACAAAGTTTGATCATAGCTTGTTTTTCCCCATTCTACATTCAGTTATTAACCAGGAAGCTGCTTTTTTTTTTTGGTAAAGATATTGCAGAAGAGAAGTGTGGTGATGGGAACCTGCAGACTGTGGTGGTGGCTTCCATAGCAGACAGTGCAAGCAGTTACATTCTACATCCACAGGCATCTCTCACTGTATCAAAAAAACCAACCACCAGGTAGGTCAGGGGTTAAAGGATGAGCAATCACTCTGATCCACTGTTAGCACTGCCTTTTTTCCTTGCAGTTTGTTTTTGCAATGGTTATCATAAAATTACCATGGAAAAGAGGTTATGAACACACAGTGTACTGAATGTTTGGAGGACTTGAATGTAGAAACCAGCGGGTTTTTTAAATACTTTTATTCACTGTAAATTATTTTAACAATGAAATAGAATATGAAAATGAAAACCACAGATTTTTAAGGCATGTTGATACAATATCCATAGTTTGACCATATGCTCTAGGGTTATACATAATACAGTGATTTGATCTTACCTGTAGTTTAGACTAAGTTGTTGCTTTTCTGAATGTCTGTATAGACTTCTATTATTTTTTTCAGGGCAGTGGAAGATTCTTTTCCCATCCCTCTTCAGCCACTGCCACTAAATACGCCTGCATGGGCACGCCGTCTCAGGAACTGTGAGGTGGGCCACAAAGAATTCTGACTTAATGTTTTATCATCTACCTCTGAGACAGTGTTCCTGTTCCTTGAAAGGAGTAATTTATTGCTGTAGAAGTGTTCAAGCTTCTTGCTATATAGCACTGGTACTGCTAGCACAGTTAAACACATAAAATGCTGTGAAATCCTTCTCTATTTGGAGAATTTTAGAATAACTGACTATCAACTGCTCCTGAAGTAAAAGAAGTGCTGCTGAAAACCTGATACCTTGTAGTGCTGGGAAGAGCCATTGTGTGCCATGTTAGGGTTTGCTGTTGAACAACAGTGCAAACTTTGCTGACTTCTGCAACTGTTCATGTGGTTTGTGTTATCACATGGAAATAAAAATCCATGTGATTGGCCAGTGTCAAGTCTGAGACTTAATGCACCCTAATATCAATATTTCACTAGGGATTCCTATTTTAGATAATAGTGCTGATTTTTATTTCTTGTCACAGCAAGTTAGGCTGCTTGTGCTTGTTTCCTCTTTTGTTAAAAAATACTGTGTCTTTATGTTCTGTGGTGGCTTTTGACTTAAACAGAACTCTTCCTTTTTTGCATATTGTTAAATGTTTGCAGACCTGTCCTGATGACTAGGATGCTATCAGCAGCTAGAATGCATCATAAGTCCCTTAACAGGAAGGGAGGGGAGGTGGGAAGTTTCTTGAGAGATCAGCTACCCCTTCCTCCTGCTGCCAGACTCTTCCTGACAGATGTTTATTTTACTTTCTCTTAATACTTTTTAAAAGGAAAGCTTATACTCCATAGCTGCCTAATCTCTTCAGATATCTCTACCATTTTTTTTCTATTGACTTGGCCACTGATAACTAGAAGTTGCAGTTTGAGGGACCTAGAAATTGAATTTCTTTCTGTATCTGCTTAGAAACAATTTCAACATTAAATATATTCATCTATTCCTTTTGTATTATGTCACTTATTTAATACAGGTGGTACTGTCCACTCTTATGTCCACATAAATGTTAAGAAGTCAGAAAATTCTTAGCATGAATTCTTCCATGGTGGAGATACCATTTTTATAGAATCAGTTGCTTAAATCAGTTGGCCAGTTAGTTCATAAAGTTCACTGTGTTTTTAGCACTATGTGGTAGATTCTTTCCTGTATGTGGCTTATCTGAATTATTTATTATTGGTATCATAGCATCAGAGGACTTAGGATCTGCTTTGTCTCTCTATTACAAGAAACTTCACCTGCCGTGTTTAAAATTCACGGTGACATTTATAGAAAAGTTCTTATTTTTAAAGAAAAGGAAATAGAAATAGTGTCTATTTGAATATGTTCTGAGGACACAAACATCTCCCTCTGCTGTTCAACAGAACTGTTGGCTGTATGCATTAATCCTCCCTGATCCACCAGAGAGTGCTGGGATGTATCGTGCCTTTTTTTGGGCACATACTAGAGATGCTGGGATTTTGAGGTGTCAATTATCTTTCAGATGTCAAAATGTTTTGTTACTGGTAACAGAATTGAAGGATCTTACTGAAATTTGGAGATCCAGTTTGGCGAGATGCTGATAAATATGTCAGCTCACTACTCCACTCTTTGAGTTGTCTGCCAGAATTGAAACAAGCTTAAAACAGCATTGCAGTCTCTGTGACTCACACAAGGTGAAGCCGCTGCATTGCAAAGGCCAGTGGCTCCTTTGGCAGTTGGGACTGTGGGCCAACACAGAGCAGTAAAAGCCTTGAAATGTTCACCTTACACTTGCTGTGTCTGGACTGCAAAGTGCCTCTGGTACCCTGCTGCTGTGAGTTTCCTCAAGGAAAGCTGCAGTCTTGGTTTGTGTACTTTAGGGTTAGCTTTTATGTACTTTGCTGAGGCAAGGCCAGGGGAGAAAGAAGCAATCACTCAATTTTTTGGCTTGAACCGTGGAGTTAAAGGGCTGAAGAGCATGTGATTACTTCAAGGTAATTACATTGTTGCAGAGTTAATTTAAACAGTTTCTTTTAATAACTTTTATTTAGTTTTCAGTGGTCTGATCAGAATGCATTTCCTGCATGTATCAGCCTACTGAAATAAAATGTAATTTAAAACTGCATTAATTAACTATACAAAATTTAGTTAATTTATTTGTCTGAAGAAGTTAGTCTTGTTTGTCCATTTTTTTGCTATTTGTCAAGCCTGTAGAAAGCAGGGATCTTACGTGCTGTATGGTTTTCTTCTTGTCCTCCTCCTCCTCTTCCACCAGTTTAGGGAAAATGATCTAACTTGGGCAGAAACCAGAATAGGAGAGAGTACCTTAACTGTTTTTGCTACTTTTCTGGCACAGTGGTTTGTCAGCGTTCTCATCTCTCTAGAATAAAGTCAGTGACGTATTTTTAGTGACAGGTATAAGGTATGGAAAAAAAACCCAGCTGGTTTTGCAGCATTTATTATGTGCAATGGTGCTGTAATCCCTCTTCTGAAAGGCAACATCCCAGACTTCTGGAAAGAAAGAAGTTCTGGTACTTCTCAGGCTGCTTTGCTTCTCCTGAATTTTTCAGATCAAGTTTTGTTCAGAAGTTATTATTGTTTATAACTTCTAGCTAAACAATTGCCACTGTCTCTTGCTCCCACAGCTGTGTGAGTGCAGCCTGTGCAGACGTGGTCAGCTGCTGCAGCAGTGCCTGCAGAGCAGTGACTCTGAGGTGTGAGCAGCTCGTGTGCCAGTGCCTCACACCCAGTGCACACACAACCCTCCGTGTCTGCCCTTGCACCAGCAGCAGCACTGTGCTGGCCCAGTTCATTCACAAGATCTTCATTGGTTCATTGTTGACTTTAGGTCTCGCTAACCACAGACATTCTGTTTTTCTTCGATGAGCATGAGGCAGGTTTTAAGCAGTTGTTGCTAAGGTATCTGTTGATAACCTTGGAGAGACACTGTTGCTCTTTTGCTGTCAGTATTATTTAAACACCTAACTGTTCTGTCAGCGAAGGTGGCAAAACAAATCTATCAGACCTTAGTACTCATTCACCACGTGTTTGTCCCACAGTTACACTTTAAGACTGAGCTGGCAAACTACTCTGGCTGTTACAGTTGCTTGGCCAGCCTGACCCTCAGCTGCATATGAACACAAGCAAGTGTTGCATTCTGAGTTTGGATGAAAAGTTCTTTGTTCCAGTAATTTTGTTGCTTGTTGGCTGTGGCCTTTGTAGACCAGCATCGAACCAACTGCGATAGAACTGAGTAGCTGGAGTAGGAACTACTGAGTAGCTGGATAACTTCTTTGAGTCAAGTTAGGTGCAATTTTTGTGGAGTTGCCCTGACATTAGCAGAGTTAATGAAACCATCATCGGTTTGCACATGGCAAATCTGGTATAGTAAGTTTCTGTGTAATGCTGAGAATCAAGAGTGCCTCGAAGGTTGGGAAGGATGTTGTGTAAGACATTAATTTCAGAGTTAGTGCACTAAGTAGGTGAGACAGTTACTGGTGGAATGGGCAGGTGCAGTGTGTGTTGCAGTAGATGCAGAGACAATTATTAGTGATTCAGAGCTCCTCTAAGGCAGTCAAGTGAAAAACTTCATCTAATACTAATTTGTCTAGTCAGTGACTGCAACAGAAGTGTGTGCTGGTGGTAAACTGCGGGAGTGAAGTTGTCCTCTGGAAATCAGAGTTGACAGTGACTGTAACCTTTTCAGGGGCTCTTGGTGTTCTCAGGGTCTTGAATGACTGACAAACTCCTGACCTCAGTGGGGATTGCTCTTCTGTTAGATCCCACGATAAATCTCTTTATGAGGATACTACTGTGGGGACAAAAAACGTGGAGTGCCAAAAATCTGGGCCTATGTTCTCACCTGCCGGAGTCCCTGAGTGCTTTCACGTGTAGTGTGAGCAGTCAGCTGGGTGAATAATGCTGTCATTTCCCGTCCTTTCCACGCAGAGAATTGGGGACTCGTACCGCGGCTATTGCGTGAGCGAGGCAGAGTTAGAGAGCGTCCTGGCGCTCCACAAGCAGCAGACACAGAGCGTGTGGGGCACGCGCCAGTCTCCGAGCCCCGCCAAACCCGCCACACGCTTGATGTGGAAATCCCAGTATGTCCCATATGATGGGATCCCCTTTGTCAATGCAGGTAACTAACTTTTGTTTTAATAAATACTTGCAAAATTTCAACATCAGCTCCCAGCTGGCCACAAAGAAAAATCTTTATGTTGCTCCCTAGTTCTAATAAGGTCAAGACACAAACATAAAAAAAGGAACAGCTCGCACACTGCTGTGAGAGTCTGAAGGAGCTTGTTTCCTTTTTTATGTTTTGCTGTGATTATTTCCTTTTGTCCTTTAGAGATTAGCTAAGTACCATTTCATTAGGGTTCTTGTGATGAGGTCTTTAGGGAGAGGTCTCATTTGCTGTATTAGGACCTGAAAGTTCTTGTAAGGGTAAGAGCTTGTTCGATTATTCTTGCCTAACTTGAAGATCTTTAGAAGAGTTTGTTGCACAGGAGTCAATAAACTATTTAAATTGCAAACATTAAAGTAATAAATAAATAAATTCGAAACACCAAACAAACAAGCAAGATAAACATCAACAGACCTCAGCAGAGAGACTTTTGGCGTTTGGGGTTCTTTTTGAAATGTTCATGCAGACTTCACAGCTTGATAATTACATATTTAGCTCATGCAGTACATATGTGAAATTGCCAAGAGTGTAATTTGGATATAAACTGAACGGGCTTTACTTGCTACATTGAGAAAATGAGTGAGAGGAATGTAAGTTATGTTTGGGGTTTTTTCTTCTTTTTTTCCCTGAAAGTTACTGAAAAAGGGAAATGTTAGCACCAGTTTTAAAGCTTCAGCCATAAACTGTGAGATTAAAGAAAACTAAGAATAAAATCAAAGCAACTTACCCTTTTTTTTCCCCCAACATGCATATGAGACATCTTTAGTTTCATCTAGATCATTTGGTATCATATGGAAACACATTATGTTGCTTTTATATAATACTTCAGAAGTTTCTGGGTATATCACTTGTGGCATAGGCAGCTCCTTGCCTGCAAACTTGAATACACAAAGTATAAATAAAAGATAACTAAACATGATGTGGAAGAAATTTGGAAGATGCTCCTTTCTTGACCACTTTAATGCTTGCTTGTCAATCCCTTTTTGTTAGAGGTCTGACTGGAAGAAGTCACTTAATTTGAGTTTAGAGCAAAGCAATATTTGTTTGAGCTTGTCTGGTTTTGTATGGGTGTGCTGTGCTGAAACTGTTATTTAGCAGTTAAGATTTCTTAACTGCAAGGCTGAGCTTTTATGGAACAGCAAGGTCTGAAGTGTTGATTTAAGCCAAGAGGCTGGAAATGTCTGCTGACCTTGTCTCATGGTTTGACCCCAGCTGGAAATCACTACAGAGCCACTCACTCATTCCCCCAGTGGGATGGGGAGAGAATTGAAAAGGTAAAATTAAGAAAACTCATGGGCTGAGATAGGAACTGTTTAAAAGGTAAAGGAAAATCCACGCACACAGGCAAAGCAAAATAAGGAATTCATTCACAACTTCCCATCCCCAGGACAGATTTGTAATGGTTACTTGGGAAGACAAACACTCTAACTTTGAATGCTCCCCCTTCCCCCGGCTTCCCTACATGCTGCACATGATGCCATATGACATGGAATATGACTTTGGTCATTTTGGGTCAGCTGTCCCAGCTGTGTCCTGTCCCAGTTTCTTGTGTCCCTCAGCCTCCTCATTGGTGGGATGGGGTGGGGTGAGAGGCAGAAAAGACCTTGACTCTGTGTAAGCCCTGCTCTGCAGTAACTAAACACCCCTGTGTTATCAGCACTGTTTCCAGCACAAATCCAAAACACAGCTTCACACTGGCTGCTGTGAAGAAAGTTAACTCTATCCCATCCAAAACCATCACACCTTTGATTTCAGCAGGGGATTTTCTCTGTTGTTTTGGGCGTTCTGCTTTTTATGTTTATTACCAGTATTGTGCTCCTTTGGTAGCTTACAAGACTTCTGATCTTGTAAAGTATTGGTGCTCACCAGGGCAAAGTCCAATATTTTGCCCTCACATATGTTAAGGAGTGCTGTGAGGTGTAATAAGTTTGAGAAATGGTTTAAAGTGCTCTGTGTTCTTACATGCTGAGAGAGAGGCATTTGCATTGTATTTGCTTACTATACCTGAGGGTTCTGCCTTCTGAAGAGTGTGATGGCAAGCAGAAATGACTGCTTCAAACCCTCATCTCTTCTGTAGTTAGTATTTTCCTGTAATGAATTACATGGTTGCTTGAACAGAGCGCATTACTTTGTTTCCAGGAAGCAGAGCCATTGTAATGGAGTGCCAATATGGACCAAGGAGGAAAGGATTTCAGCCCAAAAAAGCTGGTGAGCAGGAAAGCACCTCTAGCCAGCTGTACAAAGCCACTTGTCCAGCAAGGTAAGAATTATATATAAAGCTGTAAGAGTGACTGAGCATTCTAGGAAAGCATTCTTTCTGTGAGCCATGACAGAGCACTGGTTTGGGATGGTAGCTGATACTCACAGTAGCTCTTTTGCTTTATTTCCTTGATAATTTGGGGTTGATACTCATTTAGAAGTAAGGAGGAAATGCTGTCCTGTCTGACTGAATAAGGCTGAAATTTGATAGGTTCTCTGAATGCAAAGTAGCAGTACATCACTCTATGAAGTACATTATCTACCTGAGCATTCACAAGTTATTGTGGTAATTCTTTTTGCTTCTAAAACTTTGTCATGTTATTTGTTGTTTCTTCTTCAGGCTTTTAATTGCACTGATATCAGTCAATCATCCTAATTTAGCACATGTCCTGTGTGCTGAAGGAGTTACAGTTCTTCCTGTTCACTGGGGATTTTCTCCTTCTTCAACACTAATGGTTTTTTTCCTCACCCTTGAGCATTCTCCTGGGTGCTTGTTCAGTTTTTACTGAGCTAAGAGCGTGCTTGATGATAGTTGCAGCTAGGTCTGTATGTGCTTAATTCTGCATGGCTGGGTGAACTGCAGCCTGTTCACAATTGGTGTTGTGCTTTTACTATAGTGAGGGACGAGGGCTTTTGTTGAGGAGTAAAATCACTCTGGCTGAGTGGCTTCCAGACCAGACCAGAAGTGTGTCTGTCTGCATCCATATCTATTAATGTAGCCTTAAGAATTTTGCAGTTCTTTTAGAGGCTCCTCACACCTGACATCACTCTGCTTGAATTTTTTCTATATTAATGCCTGATATGAAGTAAGTGGAATTTTTGCCTTTCCCTTCCCAAGGGCAAAGTATACTGATGGAGAATTTTTTTTATTCCTCCTTGGAAGGATCTATATTAAAAAGGTCCAAAAGTTTCCAGAATACAGGGTTCCTACTGACCCTAAAATTGACAAGAAAATCATAAGAATGGAGCAGGAGAAAGCATTCAACATGCTGAAGAAGAACTTGATAGATGCTGGTGGTGTCCTCAGGTGAAACTTCCACTTTTTTCTTTATTTTCACAGATGAAGCAGAAAAGAGCAGTATTTTACTTGATTTTTTTTTTTTACTGAGTCACTTGTTAATAGTAAAAAAATCTACAATGTCAGTAAGACTTCTGTGGCAGTGAAGTATTAATTTGGTAAATGTAATTAATTTGGTAAAGCACTAAGCTATGGAACTTCAGCAGGTGTTTTGATATTGCAGGGTATTAGTAGAAATAGTTGTGTTGTTTTAGGGTTGATCTCGTTTGTTTTGCATTGAAAGGTGTGAGAGGGCCCTGAGTTCTGCAAGACGTCATCTTGCTCAGGGGCTGTAAAAACTTGTCACACTGACTAGGTTGTTGGTAGTCCTCAGACTCTTCCCCCCAAGACACTGATTTATTGCCTTTGTTTGAGAATTGTGTGTATAACCTCTCTCCTTCTTGTTAGGTGGTATGTACAGTTACCTACTCAGCAAGCGCACCAATATCATGAGATGGAAACTTCCTGCCTTCCTCCATCACCATCCCATCTTTCTATGTCTTCTCCTGAGGAGGAGGAGGAGGTCATTAGGGATGAGAACAGTACTCTGCCTTCTCGACTTCATCCTCAAGTGGCAGACAAGATCCGAGAACTGGTGTCTCAGGGAGTAGAGCAGGTCTATGCAGTGAGGAAGCAGCTAAGGTACAGAACTGTGTGCAGTGCTCAGTCCATAGTGCTATATCTGCTTTTGTATTTGATTAATTTGCTTTGCAGCTAAAGAGCAATGCTGGTGCATTACTAAATCTAATTTCCAGATGTCATAAGCCTGTTTTTCCCAGCTTTTGATATCTTTTCATATCATTGTAGCTAGCCTCCTGTAAGAGCTGCTGTACTCTTTAAAGTTCCTTGAATAAATGGGGGTTTTAAATTCCAAATTCTGTAGCCAATGCACAAAGAACTGTCTCAGTAGATCATCTAGCTTGCTTTTGTCTTGTCATTGCAACAAGGGGAGGGAGAAGGTAGCAGGGTCTCTTAACAGCAGGAAGTAGTGGAATATATATAAGTATGGTAATAAATGTCCTTTAACATATGACAGAAAGTATGTGGAAAGAGAATTGTTCACACCTGATGAAGTGCCAGAAAGACATAACCTGTCCTTCTTCCCCACTGTGAATGACATCAAGAATCACATTCATGAAGTGCAGAAGTCCCTCAGGAATGGAGAGATGGTGTATAATTCAGAAAGTATCCCAGCAACGGTATGTTGGCCTTTGTGTATCTTTTTGATTTTTGGAGTTAAATACTGGAAATCTTCATTTTTACCACTTAGCTGTATTTCATCCAAAATTTTCTGTGACTTTATATTTCCAGCAGCAATATTGTCAGTGGAATCTGTGGCTGAGTAAGACTGGATTAAATGTGAATAAAATCTTCTGACCTTATTCAGTATTTATCTTGTCAGCAGTAGATTGCTGTTAGTTGGTTGACAAATTACACAATATTAGCACTTCTTGATAACTACGTGAACTGGAAGCCATTGGTGTAGAAAAATTGACATGTGGTATAAAATTTTATTCATGGCTTTGTCACTGTCTATGTTTTGAAGAAGTTACTACTACTTTTCAGTAGCTGAAAAGATGGGGATGAAGTGTGTCTCAGGTGCTGTCTAAATTAGGACTTCATAAACATTTTGAATATGTTAATAGTAATAAATGCACTTTATAGTAAGTGCAGTGAGGTTGGAGTTGAATCTTCTGAATGCTCAGTAACTCTTAAATCTTGTTCCTTAATTTTCTTCCATGTATTGAGTAATAAAGGGTAGACAGTGATCCTAGTTTTCCCAGTTATGAGACTAACTGCTAAGAAATGGCTGATTTAAAATGAGCTTTGACAAACAGTACTGTTAAATCATGCTGTGTCATCAGTCTTTTCCCTCTTCCTACACTGGTGTAGCCCAGGTGAGTGAGTGTGCTTGTTAGCCAAATGGTTTGACTATTCTATATTTTAAATTCTATTAAACTGTTATGAGCAGATAAAGCAGATAATCTTCCTGATACAAAGTGCATGTTTAAAAATATTCTACAGTTTTTGGTGTTTTTTTGTGAATCAAGAGGTCCTAAAATGCATAATTATAAAGAAATAAGAAAATGTAGTTTTAGACACTGTTTTCTTATCAGTCCTGTATTGAGCCTGTGTTCTTGTAGACAAGCTTGCACCCTTTCTGAGAGCTGAGTCCTTTTTCCTTTCAGCTGCAGTGGACCACAGACAGTGGGAATGTCCTCGCAGAAACAGTGACGGTTGCGTTTGCCTCGGCACCTTCAGATGGTAGGACTGCACATATAACCTGTGTCTCCACATTTTATTAGCTGTGTCACCCAAATTCATTTTCCTTCCCAGGAGGTTGCTCTTATATCCTGTCACTCAGGTGAACTAAGAAGAATATTTTACCATAACTTTTTTGGTTTACTTCTTTTTTTTTTTGATTTGACTGCATGTGTGGAAAAATAGGTGTAGTCATGATGGTGTTGGCAGAAGTATTAAAATTATAAATTTGGCTTTTATTTAGCATCTTCAAGCAAACAAAAAATGTAGTGAACTTTTATATGAACTGTATACATATTTGTTTTCATTTCAACATATATGTATGTATACATATATGTTTTAATATACGTATTTATTTTAATTTCAACTTGTGCCAAATGGAGACAACTGTACACTTAAGAAATCAGGCAGTAACAGAACTTGTTTGTGCAGAACTCCCTAACTCCATGTGATACAATTTTCTTTGTAGCAAGTAGAGATTTGAAATATTACCTTTTTTCCCAGGGGTGTCACTGTAGAATACAACCTAGGGAGAGAACTGCTATCTCTTCTTGCATGGGAACATTCACGTATGCATATGGGATATGCATACATGAATGTTCTCTGTATAATATTCAAAAGAGTCTAAATATTTGAAGTACTTGTGTTCAAGAAGATTTATAGGTTTGTATGTGTCTTCTGGTCAGTTGTGACCAGAATAGTCAATTTTGCAATTGACTATTTTCAATTTTTTTGCATTCACCAGACTAATCTGCATTCCATGGCAAGTTCTTCTGTTACCTCCATAACAGTGGAACTGAGAAATAAGAAGCTAAGCACTGTCTGCCTGTGTCTGCATAAAGCTTAACCAAAATGTTCTGGGTGGCTCAAACAGGAAATGGAATGATCTCATAAGAAGTTTTCTTGCAGAAATTGTTATAAGCAAATCTCAGTTTTTGCAAAGCTTTAGGAAATTAGGTGCATCATTCTTGCATTAAATAGACTTTAGATGATATTGCATAGAAGTTATGCTAATTTCACAAAGATGGGAAGAGAGTGGTGAGACATGGAACATTTCCTGTGTAGATTTTTATTTTGAAAGAAATCCCTTTCTTTTGATACCTGTGGTTTTTTTTAAGCCCTTACTCAGGTATAGATATTATCAAATTATTTGCTACTTTGCTAGAAATGTTTCAGCTTTTATGTTATGACTACAAACTCAAAGCACAGTATAGGGTGCAATTACTTTGCTCTCAAGAACAGATTTATTGGTGCCTCTGGTTTTTGCTCTGTACAGATACATACAAATTTCCTGCAGTATTGTCTTTTTGTCATACCCAGTCTTCTTTCTTTAGCATCCAAGTTCTACAAAGAGAACAGCATATATATATATGTATATATCTGTATTGAGATTGAAGGGAGTTTGTTTGGTTCACAGGGGAGGCTTTTATTAGACAGGAAGAAGAGATTTGTCATAACTGTCCGCTTCCTCACTTTGGCACCACAGGGAGCTCAGGAGTGGAGTCAGTCATCACCAAAGCAGAATCCAGCCAGAGTGGGGAGTCCTTGATACCAGAAACGGCTCAGCTGCTGTCTTCACTCTCCTCACTTCAGCCCAAGATATTTGCACAGCTTCAGGTACAGTCAGGTCATTTACAGAACATCAAATGTGCTGTGCTGGAGGTGCTGGAGGTGAGCTGAGAACAGCACGTTCCCTCTCAGTGGATCCCAAACGTAGCTGGGTAACAAGACTTGGAAGTCGCTGTCAGCTCTTCCTCTGGTTGCTCTTGCATGTCACATTTAGCATATAGCTGTGGTGCAAGGGATCCCACTACCATCTTTTGACACTTTGAAGTTAGGGTCTCTTGTGAAGGCAAAACCAAGAGGATAAAAGCAGTGGGTTTCTACCTCAAACCAAGTACCTGTTCATTTTCCACACGGTCCAGTCATCTCATAATGAAAAAGCTGCAAAACTGCAGGGAGATAAGACAGGCTTGTTTATTCCTTTTAAATCCTTCTCCAGCCTCTTAAGAAAATATCTTAAAATCCTGAAACTGCTCCTAGCTCAGAGCTGTAAACTTGAAGGTTGAAAGGCTGGAGAGGGAGGGATAAGAATGTCATGCTAAAAGAGCTTCTTCAAAAGCTCATCTCCCTTCAAAGCTGGCTCTCTTATCTCTCTTCCTTAACTACTTTGAAAATCTGCCTTCCTATTTCCTGAACCCCAATGAAATGTGTGATCTTTTCCCTAGAAATACAGTCTGTAGAAAGATTCCATTCTGCTTGCTGTTTCTTCTCTTTCTGAGGACAGCCTGACTCCATCTCATATCATTTTATTTAAAGCAGTGTGCTTAGTTTGTAGTACCCACCTCTTGTGGGAATGGGCAGTACTGGGGAATGACCTGAAACTGAACATCAATCCAAAATTAGAACTTTATGGTCAGAAGCAATCTTCTACATGCTGCTGGATTCCATTGTCCAAATTGTTTTCAAGTGCATTTTGAGCCTAGAGTTACTGGGATTGAGTGTTGAGAAGAGTTAATGAGTAGGAAGTCAGAAGCCACCTAGACAATACATGCTGTTAAATGCAGACTCCTTCTGCTGTAAATACTGCTAGGTTGATACTTCTGCCTTCTCTTCCACAGGGATTACAGCTGCAGTCAGCATTTACCTCGACAAACGGATCAACAGCCCTGCTAGCTGTAAATAACCATTCCCCTCCCAGCCCTGCAGCTCTCCTGGATTCCCTGGGGGGTGCAATAGGCAGCCATTCTCTAGCACTGGGTCAGGGGCACAGTCTGCAAGGTGCTGGCCTGACACAGGACAGTGCTGCTGTGCCCACTTTTGGGACTCTGCCTGCCTCTGATCAGAGTCTGCTTGCCATGGGTCAGCTGGTACCAGCTGAAGGGGTGGATGACTCCAGAAGCCTGGAAGGAGGAGTGCAGCAGATTCTCTTGGGAGATGTGCAGACTATCCCAGTACGGATTGTGGACAGCCAGCCAGCACTTAGTAAGTTGTCGTTTTCTCAACAATATGTCAATATTAGTGTAGAGAAAATACAGTGGATTTTGTTCTGCGTGTCTTGAAGAAAGGAGACAAATGTGTTGATAGTGGGGAACTCCAAGGCAGACTTCTTTCAGACAATTCTAACTAGTTTTTTTATTTTTCTGTGGGAAAGGGGAAAGATGTTTTTTGTGAAAGGGATTTTATATCTCCAAACATTTTATTTTTTTTTTATAAATTGGTTTAAATATTGTTACTTGAGGGGAGCCTTACTGGAGCAAGTTCATGTCATCTTGCAATGCTTTAGAGCAAGGTAGGTGACATAACTGGTTATCAAGCTAAAAAGCAGTAAACTTCATATATGCCTTAACTATTAGCTTGAGTTCCTGAAATATTTTTCTTTTAAATGCACAGTTATTGGGGCTGAAGCATTGTCAATGGAGTTTGAACTTCAGTGTTTGATTTTTGTTTTGTTTTTAAGCTGAAGAAAATACGGAGGGTGTTGTTACTTGTGTGAGCCAAGTTAAACAAGAACCAAGAGAGAAAGCATTGTCTATGGAAACAGATAAAATCAGAGACTGCCACAGTTCCTCACCATAGTTCTTCACCTTCACCTGTGAAGCCTGGAAGGATTTTCAAATTGGAGAACTCTAAATGTCTTGGAAGGAAAGGCAGGTGCTCTCAAAGTACTGCCATTCTTTTTTAAGTTCTATATGACATTCAGAATAAGCATATTTTAGAGTACTTCTGACAGAAAGCTGTTTTGGTTGGACTGATGGGGCTCACTGCCAACTCCAGGTCATTCCGTTGCCCCGTGGAACACCACCTCTCTCTTCTGTTTCAAGTTTTGAGTAATTTGGATTCTATCCAAATGGCCCATTTTGTTCATTGTTTCTGAAGGTCTTCCACAATTTAATTCCTTAGCTTTAGAATGTGGATCACAATGCTGGGTTCACATTTTCTGTTTGAGACCCTTGACTTTTATTGTACTACAGAGACCATAGAATCTGTCAGCTCCAAGATCACAGAATCCAACAGCAAAGTGGATCAGTATGGCAATGGTTTTGTGACAAAAGGAAGGTCCAGGATGCTAAACTTCAAAGTGATAAAGGACATGGATGCTTAAGAAAATGCAACTTTGACCTGATCATAATGTTAACGGTGTGAAGATCAAGGAGAGGAGAAAGGTGAGGTTTCCAGGTGAATGTAAGGTTGTATGATAAAGAAAAGTGTGTGAATTGTAACAGTGAATGGTTTTGACTTGACACCTTTGAACTTAAGTTCTGGCTTTATAATGAGGTTCATTGATGCATGCAGCCTTCCTTTGCAGTGGTATTGTAATTGCAGTTGGTCATAACAACTAAATGTAGGAGTCTCATGGAAAATGATGGATGCTGCCATTTCAGCTTATCTACCTCTTGCTTTGTGCACTTGAAGCTATCAGCTCAGACAAATGTGATTTAAGCTGCTGTTGTTTGGTATGTAGGGCTTGTGGATACATTCCTAACAAAGAGAAGCCCAAGAAAACAAAGGAAGCAATCAAAGCAATATGTCCAAGTATGCTATCACCACAACATTCAGAAAATAAACTAATCTTTTTCAAAAGTGACATATTCTAAGACTTATGTGGTCCATACAATTAAAATAATTACCAGGAATCTTTAGGAAATCGAATGTGATAAAAATTAAAGTTTAGTAATATTTGAGGTAAAGCCATAGTAAGTGACAAGCACTGAGCTGTGTAATGTGTGACAGACATTTAGAAAAAAAATCACACCTACAAATAACTTGAAATCAATTTAAAGCTGTAAATGAAGTGAAACTGATAATAACATAGATATCAAGTTAAGCAATTGCATTGTTTGCTTCAGATGTTGAATTCCTAGAGCAACATTCAGAGTAGTTTCTATACATGAATAGGAGCCTTTCTGTTATTAGTTCCTGCTAAGTAGTTGAGAGCTTGATCATAAAATTGATCATAAAATAGGAGGTTTTTTCTGCATGCTGTGGAAGAATCCAGTGTGAGGACTTCTTTCTTTTTCAGACTTGAAAACAAGCAAACAAATAACCCCAGGGAAATTTATTAGTTCATTTATGTAGAGAAGAAAGTGTTGTGAATATTATATGAATCAAAATATTAACATTTTAAAATTGTTACTTTACCTTACATTCAAATATTTACAAACATCTTCTAAACAGTCGCAATTTAAAATTATTTTTTCATTTTATTTTGAGTATTTCAAGCTAAAACTTTCAAAAGCCTCACATTGAACTTGAGTTCCAAATGCCTTTATGTGCAAAATCTGTTAAATGCTATATCTTAGCCTTAACATATATTAACATCTCTGAGGTTAACTAACATTATAAACATTATTTGTTTATAGCTAATGTTTCTGGGTTAGGTCCCATTAGAATTTTCCAACAGGATTATGCTCTTATTAAATAAGAGCCAGTATTTTATCATGCAAGTGCATTAAAAAAATCTCCATTTTTTTCAGAGCCTCTAATATTTATTATCTACACTGACTTGTTTTATAGTATGCTTTACTCATTCCTGGGTAGGTAAAATCCCACAAGATTTGCCTGTGGCATTTATTTATTTGGTTGAGGTTTTTAATCTTGCCTTATTTGTTTGTTGGTTGTTTTTCTGGTAGGTTGTTTTGGTAATTGTCAAAATATCTCCCAGATGGATGTTGTCTGCTGCAATGTCAGCTCTGGAGGACTCAGTCAGCAGTCCCCTTCTCTTTTCCAGCTCAAAAACTGCATACCAGAATGGGTACCTCCTTCCATGCTGCTGTGTTCAATAATCCCATCATGGCCAGCTTTTCTTTAAGTTTAAACTATTGCATTCCAACCTATATTCTCTTTCCCCTATATTGCTTTTTTTTTTTTTTTTTTTTTTGAGAATTTTTCCTCCTTGTTGAGAATCCTTCTTTTCTAAAGAATAAATTACAGCTAAAGATTACCAGCAAGAGGTTATTTCAGTTTTAGTTCTCTTCAAAGCAGACAATACATTTGTGATTGGAGCAAAAGCTTAAGGAAAGTCAAGTTATATTTCCATCAGTTCTTGCTTAGTTCCCTCATTAACAGTTCTGGTTTTTGCACAGTTCTTTCCACCATGAGGTACAGTCTCCTCCTGTGCTGCACAGTATTTCTGATGGTATTTCTGGTTCTGACCTAGTGCTCACAGCTGAAGAAAACCATCTTGAATTGCAGGTTCTGAAATTATTTTGTATTCTACCCTGATTTGCATGGTACTCTCAAAACAATAGAAGAAAAAGTTGGAAGAATTTTAAAGAAGCAATAAAGAATTAGTTGTTTTTAAAAGCTGGGGATTAGACTTGCAATTCTGTTATTATTCTGTTTATTGGAAAATTTATTTTAAATTATTCTTGAGTCAATACATTTTTGTCTTCAGTTTTCTTCATTTTCACAGAATTTCAGTTCTTTGTCTTCCAGATACATATTTCAGTTTATTACTGTCGTTTATTTTCATTTAATCATTCTTTTTCAAAGTGTGTTTTACACTTGTTTTGTGCATGTTGCTGAAGGAGGAATATGAACTCACCCCCATGTCCAGTCTCTATATTTGATTTAATGCCTTTGTTCACTGATATCCACCTATATTTTACAGAGAAGACTGTTATGTATCTGAAAAAATGAGAAGTAAATGCTGCCATGTTCAGTGGTTAAAGTTGTTGAATTAGAGTACTCAAGGCTGATTTAATCTATGTAGCTTGATGCAAAGTACTTGGTTATTACTTTGTGTTGGAATTGCAAATGTTTACTTTTTTCTTGTGGTTGTTGTGTGCAAGCACTTATTTTGAAAATCTAGAATTCCTGACCTTCAACAGTACTGTAAATGAACAACTGATTCTCCAGTTATCCTTGGTTATCCTATCCACTTATCCTATCCAGTTATTGTTGTTGGTTGTCTGTAAGAGTGATTGGTTGCTTTACAAGAAGAGATGTGCTTCTGTATGTGCATGGAAAGATAACCTTTTGGTAAAATGTAGAGAAGGTGTAAAAAGGTACACATCTATAGCTCTCATTCAAGACCAGAGGCCTCTTGGATGGAAACCAATACTGGTAATGAATGCTTTTTGTGGTACAAAATTATTTGTATAGTCCACAAAATTTAGAGCCACAAATGTCTGTGTATATATGTGTATGTATATATTTTTTTATAGTAACTTAATGTATAATATTCCTATTCAAATGTAAACTACTTGTTCTTTTAAAGTACTGGTCTACTTTGTGGCTATGGGGGCTCGTGGGGAGAAATGCAAGAGCTCTTTCAGCGCAGTGGATTTTAAGGATGATGGAGAACAAGTAAGACAGCTTCAGGGAGAAGCTTCAAGTGGAAGGACTTCTTCAGGTGGAAGAAGTTCCTGAAAAACAAGGATCCTGCTGGGAGGGCTGATAGAGGCTGTGCCTGAGGGGTTTTGGTGTTGAGAGCCCAAGGGCTCGATGCAGTTCCTGAGTCTATCCATATGCCAGTAGTGGATAGTGTGAGTTACTGGTAGGAATTTAAAGGTATGAAGAGAAGGGAAGCCTGCCCTGCCCTTAAAAACAGAAAAGTTGCTTGAGTTTTGGTGAGCACCAGAGGCCGATAAATGACTCCCCATAGCCTGAGGTGCCCATTCTTAGCTTCTGATATGAAGAAGAAACTCCTCTTGAAGCTTCAGCCCAGGGCTGTAGACTCTCTTTCTTTACCTGTTACCAAGGAAAACAAATCTTTTCTTTCCAACTGAATTAACCTGCTGCTTTTCTCATCCCACTGACTGCAGCTCAATATCTGCCCAAATGTCTCCTTCTTCACACTTATTAAGGCTTCCACAGAAACCCCATGCCCTCAGGCCCTCCAATTCTCAGTGTTTCACTGTTGGACTGTGGAAGGAGCTGCTGAGTCCATTGCACAGGTAAACGCTGGTGAGCTTTGCCCCATCAGTTTTTCTCCCTCCTTCCCCACGATCATAAGTACATATGTTCTTTTAAATTGCATTAAGGTTTTTTACTTGCCTGCTTAGGGATTTATCATCATTACTGGGATGAGTATGAAGGAGCCCCATTTCACAGATCATTTACATTCACAGCAACTGAAAAGATTTGATAAAACAAGGAGGAAAGGATGCTTTCTGCCAGCTGTTAGGGCTGGCCTCTTTCATACCACTTGAATTCCTGATTCTGGCTGTGGATAGTAGATGCCTGTTAAGTTGTCTGTCTGTTGGCAAATGTGCAATTTTCTCCCTTAAACCTATTCAAGCAGATAGGTTCTCAGATGTTTAGGTAGGAAGATTCTGTTCCATTAGGGATAGAAAGTGTGATACAGCTGAGGATGGTGGTAGGAAAAGTTACTTCTCTTTATGGGTCTCTGATAAGAAAATCATCTTTGATCTGCCTTGCCTTTCTGAACAAAGCTCTCGTAGGAATAGACTTCAGAGCCTATCCCATTAGTAACAATTATCTTCTCCCCAAAACCTTCATTAATGAATGAAGCAAGCCTTGTGTAAAACAGGTGGTGTTAATTTTTTAGGTCAGAAGCTATCCAGCTGGCCTATCCAACAACAGCAGCTAAGGTATGATCCAGGGGGGAAAGGAGGGAAGAGCAAATAACAGGAGTGTGTGTGCATGTGTT